TGGCCCTGGGAATTAGATCCTTGCAGATATTTTAATGGCCAATTCTATTCATTTCACTGAGGAATCAAACACACATTTGAAGACTGAACTAAGTGGGTAAGAGAAAACCACAGCTGTAAGCTGACATGTTCATTTTTGATAAAAATAACCCATAGAAAGATGATACTTTTCCTTCTTGCTTTTTCACATTAGCAGTTATGTTATTCTTGAGCCACTTTTTGGTTCTTCTCTTTGGACAACCAACAAAATGATAACAGGAGAGTGAAGCTTTCGTTACAAGCCTGAGGCTGAGAGCAAGAACACCAGTAAGATGAACACAACAGCCCTCTTGCTGTTTCAAGCTGCCACCAGCCACCACAGCTACTGATTCTAGACAGAAGTTCAGATAACTCCAAAGGTTTTATTTAAAATAGGGCTAAACATCATGTTGGTGCTCCTGGAAGAGTAACACAGAAAGCACAGGGTGCCTCAAGACCTTCGTTGGCCACATGCAACGAAGCACWACTGTGTGAGAAAGACAAGATTGCCCTTTACCCCCCAGTGTAAGAATCCTGCTTTAGCAAAAGGGCAAATTTAAAAATATGACCACAATCGAGCCATTCCTAATGCCCATGCACCCTTTGCCGCTTGTACGGATGCTGGGAACAATAAGCTCTCTGTGCGGTTGCAAGCAGATGGGGATGCAAAGTTTTAGCAGAAGTTGCTTTGAAAGAAAATATGCAGAGTTGGAAACCCATATGTGCTCTGGGGAAAACCTTAAAAAGTTTTCCATTTGTTCTCACAGGCAAAATAATTGCTGAGGGTGGGGAAGAGGGATCAACAGGTATGGGGTTTTCAAAGCTTTTCCAGATAGACATGTTAAAATCATGAGCTTCAACCACAACTTTTTCTATTCCAAAAGCAAACTTCCTTTTAATCTTCCTGGCAATTAGAGAAATTATGTTAACTTACTCTGTCTCAAATGTAACACTTTTTTTTTTTTCCTCTCTTTTCTCTGTTGCACACAATTGTTGGAAAGCCAGAACTCAGGAAGTCCACAGAAATGGGTGAGTGGTCATATGGAATTCCAGCGCCTTAACACCCTCATGAAAATAGATAAATGTAATAATAAAAGACACCTTAGCTAAGCTTCCCAACGTCCTGTGCTGCCTTTCTGCATTCGAGCTAGCAGCATGCACTGCATGTGCTTGCCCAGGTCCCCACGAGCTGAGAGTTGGCAATGAGATCATTACATGGGATTTACAATCCAAAATGCACTCACTTCCCAAATGGCACCGAATGGATCCAGCTGGATGTTCCTGGGCTAGTCAGAACTGCGTGTGAAGCTGCGTCGGGTCTGCGGCTCGCAGAGCCAGCCTAAAAACCCCCCGGCTGCTCCTTTTGCAGCAGCTACAGGATCGAGGGTGCCAGGCTAGATTCCATGATCCAGTCCTCATTTCTAAGGGCACAGCAATGCATACGCACATAATTCCTTGCAAACTCACAATGGATCAAAGGCATTGAACAACCAACGTGCAAAAGCTACAGGACTCAGGGGAGCCTTTGAAACAACAGCGACAAAAACCGAGGAGCTCAACCAGCTCTTTCCTGACAGCGCTAAATGACGGTGGATAAACAGCACAGCAAGTGCTGAACTGGCTACGAGAGGCAAAAAGGGAGCAGAAAACAGAGCAGTCTCAGATTCTAACMTCAGGATTAGACATTTTAGCAGCAGGAAGAATGGCCAGGGAGAGTCACTGGCAGCTAGCTCACGTCCAGGCTTCTTCAGACGGAGAAAATGAGGGCAGCTCCAGCCTTTGGAGCCAAGAGCAGCAAGGTGGCACTTGCGGCTGCTTTGCACAACCTGTACATTTTCTGGCTCTGTTCACACACCTTATACGTTGCTCTCGCCAGTCACGTCACCAAGTTTTACAGGCRGCACCTCAAGGAAATCCTTTTTCCCTCCCCTTGCAACTGCTGATGGGTGACAGCAGAAGCTACCTCACCAAAAACCTTATCCGCTGAGAAACTGTTGGGGACGTTGGACACACGCTATTGCTGCGACAGTCCCCTCTACTTTTGAKTCAGGTTTCTGTACAACTTTCCCACTACACTCGATGGTCAGTAATAAAAGAGCAATGTCACAGAGGCAGGAAAAAGTACTCAAGAGGAACGACATGGTGAAGGACAGAAGATAAGCTCCACAGCACAAAACCCAAACTCCCTCCAAGTGCTCCTTATTAAGCCCTTGAGATTATAGCATATCATAAAGTGAGCTGAGAAAGGCCTGCCCAAATGCCTTAGCTGGGCTGGAGCTATGTCAGTCCACAACAGGTCAAGGACGGAGAACTTCAAGGCAAAGAGGGACAAGTCCCATTTCAACCTCCAAACCARCTCGAAGCCCACAGTACCTGAAGAGGAGCTCCAAAACGCAGAGCAAAGCGAGCAGGGAGCCTGCACAGCGCCCGAGCAGCCTCGTCACCCTCACACCTCCGGAGAGGACAAGAAACATTAACACCCCGAGCRATTTCTGCTGATAAGCAAACACGTGAAGGAGAAGAAAGATCATGGCAGGGTACTCGCACAGCTACAGCGCAGCATCTTCTGCTGCCAGAGAGGAGAGCACCTAAGGACGGTGTTTTAGACCACTTCTCAGAGGAACTGCAGGCATGGTGCAAGTGCAGAGGACAGGCTCCTCGTACGGAACACAGCACAAGCTCCTCTTTCCTAGAAAAGCTGGAAATTAAATTAGCTGGAAACTGAGCATGTGGCCAAGGAAATTCTTTTCCTGACTGTTCTTCCTCACACCTACATGTTTGGAAGCAAACTGGCTTCAAAATATTCCCAATATAGACATAATAATAATAATAACAATAATAATAATAATAAAGCATGAAAGTTGGTGTTGGAAATGCTGCTTTTAAAGATGCAGCATCCCTTTCCCAGCTCTGGGAYAGCAGGTCCTTCCAGAAGGCTAAGGGCATCAAAGAGCCATCATGGATGATCAACCTTAACAAAAACCCACATTTCTAGCACATTTCAAACGCCCTCTTCCAAGAACACTGTCCCTGGCCTGTGTGGCCGAGGAGCACCCCCTTTTAGCCCCGTGTGCACAAGCAAATTCGGGATCTTCTGTCATACACATTTGGAGTGTGAAGATACTAAATGCTTCGGCTTTGAATTTCATGGCATTAACAATGATAAAAGCTCACGGGATCATTACGGTTGGAAGAGACCTTTAAGGCCACCGAGTCCACCCGTAGCACCGTGCCTGCTCCGCGGCGTCCCCGGGCGCCCCATGTCCGCGTTCCCTGATGGTGGCGGGGACGGTGGCTCCACCGCTGCCCCCGCAGCTGGTCCCAGGGCTCGGCTGCCCTCGCTGTGCGGAAAACACCCCTCGTGTCCAACGCGAGCCCCCCAGCTCAACCTGGGCCTGGTTCCACTAACTCGGTTCCACCTGAGGCCCTTTGCTCTTGTCCTGGGGTGGTTTTTGTGGAGAAGGGACCAGCCCCCTGCTCCTTCGCGTGGCTGTGGGGAGCCACGGGGTCCCCCGGAGCCGCCTCCTGTCCCCGGGCTAAACCGGGAGCCGCCTCCTGTCCCCGGGCTAAACCGGGAGCCGCCTCCTGTCCCCGGGCTAAACCGGGAGCCGCCTCCTGTCCCCGGGCTAAACCAGCGGCCCCCTCAGCGGCTGCTCCCGGGCTCCGCGCTCCAGCCCCGGCTTCCCGGCCCTCCTCCCAGCTCCCGCAGGCCTCGCCCGGGGCCCGAGCACGGCGTTTGCGGGGCCGCCTCGGCAGCACCAAGCGCGGGGCACGAGCGGCGGCGGCGCCGGCCGGGCGCGCGG